ATGACAAGTGTGTGGTCACTTCAATATCATTCAAGAACTGAGTTATCACGTCAAGAAATCGAGTAATAGTTATTGTTTGCGCAGCCTCATTTTCAAAAAAAAAAAAAAAAAATAAAATTATCCAAAATTCCATTCAACAAACTCTCTTCACTCCACTTGATCATTAGGCTGCAGTTGTGGTGTTAACTGATTTTAGTAAGCATGAAGACACAAATTTTTAGTTTTTGTTGTTGTTATGCTTGTTTTTGTATACACTTTAGTGAGTATACATTTTAAAGACTTTCTAAAAATTTGCAATTCCTGTGCATGACGCCAAGTTGGGGGGCCTGGATTGTCACCGACACACTCACGCACTGCTTTTATATTGCTATTTGAACGAATTGTTTTTGGCCGAATTGTTTTTGGCCAAAATTGTTTTTGTACGACCAGGGTGTTTAGTGCGTCCAATGCATCTTGTCTCCAAAAATTCTTAGACAAAGTTTAACCACTACATAAATACTGCGTAATATGATATTGATATTTATTTGAGTTTAACTGATAAATATGAAATTTTATTAATTTTCCACAAAAGCGTATTGCTTTCAAAACTATAACTTATGTATGTATGAATGTCACTTGTCGTATTGTCGTACATGACCTATAAAGTAACTCGCTGTAGTTACTCCATGGAAGAATTGTTGGATTAATTTCAAAACTAACTTCATGTGTGCATTCCACAGATTACTCTCGAATATTATGCGTAGGTGGAGTGTGTGTATAGTCCAACGCCCTACGTTAATTGGGAAATTTTGTCTCGTTGTTTGTAGGGTTGTGCCTCCAAATCAGTTTATATGTACACAGTCGTATTTGTGCGCCAAGCCAGACATTAAAATTGACACATTATTAAATTTAATTTAAGTGGAAAAAGCTTAGCAGACCACTTATCAATACATTGACACTTTTCACTTGAACGCAAGACATTTTAATGCGAAAATAAAGGAAGAAGAATAAATAGAAAATTACACACATAAAGACATATGCAAAAAAAAAAAAAGTTACATATGTAGCAAACTTACTCGAAGAAAAGCAAAAAGTCGCTACTTTAATTTCCATTCTTACTTATACTTGCAACACAAAGCGTCACCATGTAGGCTGACTTTCTACAATTGAATATTGCAATACTGTTACATTGCAGTAACTTTCATATACGAGTACATACATATAAACATATTCATACAGTAGCAATGCATTATTGTTGTATGTGCACATTAATTGTGTTTATTGAATTAATTTAACAAACGACAAATGTCCTTTTTTGTTTGATTTTTGTTATCTTGTTGTTGTTGTTGTTGTTATGTTGTTGTTTAGCATTGCACTCACAGACTTACATGTTCATACATAATAATGAAATTGCATTCAGTCAGCGGCGGTGATTTATGACAAGCAGTCGACGTGTTGGTGGTTTGACAGACGTAATGGGCAGTGGACACGCCTAGTACGTGCCCACGTTGTGGCGACACACAATAATAATAATAACAACAACAACACCACCAGTAGACATAATTATTATCTCTCATTAAGAAAAAAACAAATGCACATATACATAGATATGTGCACATGTACACAGAAATATATAAAAAAGCTAGTCGTGGTATAGATACATAAATTGTTTGTATATATTATATATGTATATATTTATAAGCGCATATATTACTGTACATATATTTTATTATTATATTTAATTTTTTTATTTATTGTTTATATATTTTTTTTGTATATTTTTAATAAAAATACTTTTTTAAGCTTCGCTGTCAATTTGGAGATATTCACAATTGATCAAAGTACAGCGTTATCCATTTTGCGGTTTTAAAAATTATAATAAATAAAAGGCATTTAGAATATGTTTTTAAGGAAATAATTTTTTTTAATTACATATACATCCATATATTTTATGTGAAACACTATATCATTCTGATGAGCGCCTCACGAATCGCAAACTTCCATCAAACTTTCGCCCAATTTTTGACCCATACTGGGCGGTATCTCGGTCATAACTTGGCGAGTGTTTGTTTTTGAGAGCTCAAGAGTTATAGGTTTACTCGCGTAAGCTCAGTCTTTCGCGTAGCCCCACACAAAAAATCCAAACGTGTCAAATTGCACGATCTCAGTGGTCAATCGCCAAGAGTAGAGAATACACCGCCGGGAAATTTCTCTCTAATAAAGCCATGTATTGCATGACAATATCTTATTGAAACCAGATATTCTCTAAGGTATGTTCTTTAATAGCAGGTCAGGTTAACATGCGAATATAACGCTCGCCGTTGTCGTTTTCAAGGAGAAAGAAGTAAGTAAGTTTTTTTTGGGTGTAAAGGCCTCTCTTTAATTACTTGAGGTTATTTTGCGACTGAGAAATGTTTCTCACAGTTGTTTCTCTCAGTTGTTGCGTGAGCTGGACTTTATATGGATGTAGGTGTAAGTCAAGGAGAAAAAGACGCCATAAGGTTCCTTGAGAAGGATTTAGTCTCTTCAAACTTCTTTAAAATTTCATGATTTTTGTGAGTCGTTGGATGATTATGTGCACTTTAATCTCCTCTTAAAGCGTTATCTCGTCCACGTTTGAAACACTTTGTTTTGTAGTTAACATTTTTAACTCCTTATGTGGCTGTTGAGCCATCGATTTTCATAAAAGTCTGACTTTCAACTAAAACAAAACATGTTGGGTATGACAGTCAAGCGTGACAGTTGTCATAATATTGCGCTGTACTCTTGACACCATGAAATGGATAACCCTATACAGCTGAGATAAATGCATGTTGATTATAGCTCTGTGTGTTTGAATGTATGCGTGTGTTTGTTTTTTTTAGAAAACATTATTATTGGCGCTACAATTTCAATTAATGTTCATTTTCATTTGCTCTCTGGGGGCATATAAGTTTTTATTACTGTTGTAAATATTCATTAATGTACATAAATATATGTAAGTCTGCATTATATTAACAATATGCATGTGACTTCTTACATGTTACATTTTGTAATTAAATTGACACTGACACCCTTTTTGCACAAATAATTTATATCATCCGAGGAACTCTGTTGACCTCTGATAATGTAAGTTCTGAGAGAAAAGAAATTGCTAAGTAATGAGCGTTTTATAAAATCTTTATATACGCGTATGTATAGGTGAAACAGTGTTGCTAGTGAAATATATTGCCCTTCATAAAGCTCATTTCTCATGGCTTCTAAATCATTCAAAAACTTTATTTTGCTAAAAATCATTGTTACTTTATTATTTTGTATAATAAAAAAGGCTTCGTTGTTCACGCTTTCTTTTGAATTTTTTTTTTTTCGGTTGGCTTTTAAATTTTTGCTCTGTCAGCAAAGATATTCTGTACAATTTTTCTAAGAGCTTGTTTTAACTCAGAAGTTACCCTTTCGCCAGGTTGAACAACTGCCTATGAAAAAAGGTTGAAGATCTCTTCATGAAAGCTTTTTAAACGACAAGTTTAAGCAAAATTCTACTGCACCTAGAAAGCTTTTATGATTATAGAAACCGCTTTAAAAACTCGAGTTTATTATATTCTAAAAATGAAAATTACGAAAATTTAAGCTCGTTTTTTAACTACTTACTTCACATATAGTTGCAAATTTTAGCTTTATCTTGCTTTTTTATGCCATTTCCGAAGGTTTTAAAAATTTAATATGTTAACCGCCCCAACAAACTAAACGTAAATCAGTCCTCAGACCCATCAGACCCACTAGACCTATTATCAGTCAATGAAACCCGAACGGAATTTACCCTTCCTTACTAATTTCAACATTCATTGACCTTACGATTTTCCTACCAATGCGAACTGGGCGGCAGTTTGTCTGGACATTTTACATTCGCTTTTTTAAAAATATATATACGAGTATATATTTATATTTCATATATATACAAACATACATAACCTACGTTCATCACTGTTTATATCACTTGCATTTCAACCACAAATTTGAATATTCGACATCATAATGTAATTCAAACCGAAATGCTCTAACTAAATAAAACAACAACAATCCCAACTAATACATATAAGTAGCAAAGTTAAGAGTTGTTGTTAATTAACAACCACAGCTGCTGCTCCAACAGGTGTTATCGTTAGTCAATGACTTTAGGTAAATAATAGTTTCTAACTACCGTTATGAGCACCCTAACCGCAACTAAACCACTTACAGTATGAGGAGTATCGGCGGAAGTTTCGGATGTGTTAATGAAGTTTTCGATTACGAGTTATTGCTTGGAGGATATGAAGGTCATTTCCATAGGTTATGTTTGAAACAACAAAGATAACGATAATTATGGAGTTCGAAAAATATTTAAATTAAAAGATAAAAAATGACGGTGTAACAACAATTATTATTTTTTCTATATTTGAATTCTTTATCATCGCCATAACACAATCATATTAAATGATCATTAAACTCGCTCACACTGATTTTCAATTTAATATCATTTGCTAGCTGACATGCATACAAAGAGTTTTATTCCAAACTTGTTCGAACACAATTTGAATTTAAAAATTAATAACAACGCAGGTGTGAGTTCTATTAATGGATCAATACGTGTTGAAAGGCCAAAATAAATATGCTCTTAAAATTTTTATTGACTTGTGTACAAACATCTGCTTGAAACTAAAAAAAAAGTGAAATCAAATAAAATAGAATGAAATAAAATAAAATAAATTAAAATAAAAAAAAATAAAATAAAATAAAATAAAATAAAATAAAATAAAATAAAATAAAATAAAATAAAATAAAATAAAATAAAATAAAATAAAATAAAATAAAATAAAATAAAGTAAAATAAAATAAAATAAAATTAATTAAAGAAAGAAGTATTTGAGTTATAAAAAATTCTTAATGCTGTTTCTAACTTGTATGTCTCCCTAAGTTTTTTGAAAACTCTACAGAAGTTTATTTAATTACTGTTAAAAAATATATACTTTATCAATTAACTTGACTTTCACTTTTAATCTTTCTAGGAAGTCTGCAGCTAGAAGATCCGAACGATTTCGATAAAAGAAATGAGACAATGAACGAAGTCCGTCAATGAAATTTTGCTTCCAAAGCATTTTGACTGTTGTTTGACTAGAAAAAACAAAAACTAACGGATCCTGCCAGTCTAAAGTACTCAAAGCCGCTGTTAATCAGAACAGTCTGTTAACCTACTAACAGCAACTTAAAATTTATAAGTTTAAGCTCTCTTCACATAAGTATAAAAATATTTTTAAACGAAAGCAAAAAATAAATCAACACATACAAAATGGGTGCAACACGTGACAAGCCATTCATCAATAAGAGTCTAATCTCGCTCAAAGTCGTAGTTTTCTTCGTAATTAGCGGTAAGTTAAAAAATTATAACTCACCGACACGCATATGTGCATAACTAATGTGTGTCTTTGCAGGCATAACCGCGCTGCATGTGCTGCATGCCACCAAACCACTACTGCTCGGTCTGAATTTCAATGAGTATCGACGTATTAGCATTATTGCGCCATTCGTCTCCATATTGGGACCACTGATTGCCGGCCCTCTGGCGGATCGCTTGGCTGCCAAAAATGCCACCAACTTCGGACGTATACTCCGCTTTCTCACTGCCCTCTTTCTCATACTCGCTGTCATCGTGTACGCTTGTCTCTTTGCCATACCTGAGGTGAAGCGAGAAGAAGCACGCCGACCACTGGTCAGCTTCGGTTGTGACATGAGCGGCGCAGTTATATTTCAGGAACGTTGCTCCAAAGATGCCACCTGTCACAATTGGAAAGAGAAAGTGGGTAATGTGAATTTAACACGTTGCACCTATACCTGCCAAGATCCCACCAAATACGAAAGTATGTATACACCATGGTTTGATGGTATTCCCACACCATTGCCCTCGACGGAACAAAGTTCAGAGTTTGATTATGAAGATGAATCTGTTGCGACATCAACAGAGAGTTTACGTACACGACGTGCCATTGGCGGTTCGGCTGAGAATGGTGGCGAGTTGCTGAGCGCTGAGGTGCAACAGCGGAGACGCGTGGAGCGTGCGACGAAAGGTGGAACACCAGAGAAAATTTATGTAGAACCACCACATTTGTGTCTCACTGAGAAGACCAGCACCGGCGAGACTTTGGTGAAAACTTGTCACGTCTATACATATGACACTAATAGTATTGTTGTCAATTCAGTATTACGTGCAGCAGAACATAGCAACGACAATGATACACACAGTGATGAGTGGTGTAAATATCCGTTAGGTGAGTAAATTTCTGTGCAATTGCAATCCAAGTTTAAGTTGACTGAGTGACTGACTTTCTCATTCCCATATGATTTTTGAACTTCTTATGATAAATAAATTCAGCTTACGCTCTCACTTCAATCTACATAAAAGTTCTGTTAAGTTCCAATGTTTCCGCAATGTTACCAAAGCAGAACTATAATCGTGGCAAATTTTTGAAGTATGATTTTAGGCGCAATCTAAAAATATACAACTAAATAATTTCTTTTTACTGTATTCATGTATATTTATATCTACAAGCCATTGTTGTTTTCTCGATTACAAGTGCATATAACTCCCCCAAAGTGCGAAGTAGATAATTTATTCTTAAGGCCCGGCTCCTCCAAGAAATGTTTTTTTCTCAAACAAATTTTATTTCTAAAAAAAAAAATTTTAAAAATTATAAATCAAGGTTTTTTTGGATAAGTATTTATCAACACATATATATATTTATATATGTATGTTTTTATATATGTATATACCCGTAAAGTCTTTGCCGACTGCAGATTGTCCAAATGAAAAAGTAGAAGAAAAATATTTATTTTCGAGAAACGAACATTTATTACCTGAAATCAGTATCCTCTATTTAATTACTCCACTGATTGGTGGATGCCACTTCGGAGTACACATGGTATTGTTGCAAATTGCCATGCCACAAGTGTTTTGCAAACACTTTCAATTAGTGACAACAAATATTCATGTCAATTTGGTGATTTGTAAACAACAGTGTCAACCGGCAATCATGTCGTCAACTACAAACCAATCACCATCAACATCAAAGGCAACTACAATAGACACCTCATCATTATCACCTTCAACATATAATAACATACACGAAATCACCTTTGTTTGTTTGTACGCTTGTTTGTTTGCAGGCAGGCAAACAGACAGACAAACAGACAGACAAAGCAAATAAATTTACGACAGGCAATTTGCAAGTATAACAGCGACCAACAGATACAGCTCACTATCATACATACATACATACGTGTACATGCACACAATGTAACTTTAATAGGCTTTTCGGCAATATCCATATACGTCCATACATACATACATATGTACATATACACGTATGTTTCGTGATTAACTGACAGCTCAACTCATTCACCTGCACACTGTTTAACCCATTTCAGATGGCTTCCAGTGTAATATACCACTCATACAGGCTAACCACATGAAGGACCTCAAGAATGGCACCGCATGCAAGCCGATGATTGAATGTCAAGTGATTGATCCCTACGACAGCAAAGGCAGTGTATTGGCCGATAGTGAATGCATTAAAGTAAGTAATATGAAGCGCGCACACCGCACACCGCACACCGCACACACGGCTCACCGCTTGCCGCACTCTCATTCATTCATACTTCTCGTTAATCTAACCATTTTCTCCTCCCACTAGATAACTGGCGACTTGGATGCCACATTGGGCGGCTACACTGCCATTCGTCTGCTGGGCGATATTTTCGTTTTGGCCGCATTGACGTTACTCAATACCGCTATCGTTATAGCTGTACGTGAAACATCGGAGGGACGCGGCGAGGTGTGCCGTCAGTATGCTTGGGGTGCCATCGGCTATGTGCTACTCTTCTCACCCATCGATTTATTCGCCTTCAATAGCGAGTCGAAACATGATGCCGCACTAGTGGCACTAATCCTTGTCATTGTGTGTTTGCTCATCGGTGCATTAGTGTTGCTTTTTGCCTCACAAATGCCACTCAGTCCGCCAGAGTGGTGGTGGCATACAAAGACCGGCATGTTGGTCTATCCCATGTCAGCCATACGTCGTTATAGTCCGGAAATATTCGTACTCACACTGGTCGCCATACTATTCGGCACATTCTGGAGTAGCATACATAGTTTTCTCATTTGGACATTCAGCGATGCGAATGCGGTCACCTATTCCGGTTTGATCTTGGTTTTGGTGCTCTTCTTCAATGTGGACAAATTCATTGAATATTGTGGACATTCGAATATCTTTATCGCTGGCTTTGCGGTTTTCATCATACGCTTCACGGCGTTGAGTGGTGAAGGCACTCAATGGCTGACTGTTGTCATGGAGGCAATTGAGCCGGTCGTCGTCGGTGTTGTGTGGATTACGATTATACTGTATATGCGTCATGCGATGCCCAGAAAATTGACAGCCACCGGACAGGCTGTGGCTGTGTTGGCATTCTTTGGCATTGGTGAGTAAATTTTAATTGTTAATAAGTGGTTGGTGGTATTGTTGAGGTGGGGTTAAGGAAGGAAGTGTGTTTTAAAGCTGGGTATTTTTGAGCACCTAGAAAACTGTCGGTGCTTTATATTTGCGGGTAAACTGCATTGCATAACTGTCTCTTTAGTAACCATTTTCAAAGTTGTTCATTATTATCTAGAGAAGCCAAGGTAATGTGTAGGCATGAGCGTACATATATATCAGTTTGGTTAAGGCTCTCATACTATTCATACATACTTTAGACAAATTATTTTACTTGAATTTTGGCTTAACACGTTGCAATGATTAATTGAACTAAACACACAATTTATTTTAAACAAAATGATATGATTACGACAAGCGTGGGGATAGAGTTTGAGAAATCTCTGTGGGTGGTGAAGGATACATCCTCATGGGATGCCACGACCAGAAGTCGCTTTCAGTAACATTTAGCCAAGGGCAAACGCATCCTTTTCAAATGTTTTCGGACAGGTTCATAATTTCAAATGAGAAGCAGGCGCATTTTGTGGCTTACACTCGATGATGTCGCTGCTTCGATTAGAGGAAAATTCGCGCAGACCCTCAAAAGTTACCTCAAAAGAAGCCACCGATTTTTTAAAGGAAAGTAAATACATTTTTTTAATTTTATAATGAAGGAAAGCGGCCAGAATTGGTTACTAGTAAGGGTGTTATATTCCAGCAGGACTGCCATAACTGAGAGAGCTTGGCTGAGAACTGCTTATGCAACCACCATATAGCCCTGACCCAGCACCATCCGACTACCATTTGTTTGGATCTAGAGTGCTTGTGGCACCAGGTCTGGAATATGGAAATACGCCCGGCCCTCGGCTATTGCGTCGCCGTGTTAGTTACCTGTAATAAGGGACATTAGAATATAATTCCCTTTTTCTCACAAAACGGAGGATTTTCTCAAATAGCTGGAGATGAATATCAATTGGTCCCTTAATATTGCATTCCCCTCAGAGAGGCGTAGGATAGAATAGAAGATAGACAAAGACACGGAGTTCAATATCCATACGGACGAATACCAACTAGGGAATAGACTGTGAGTGGAACTTTTTCAGCAATTTTAGATATAAGACTCAGCTTCCAACTACCAAATCCTTGCATGGGTGTTCCAGTGAAGATTACGGCAATTCAAGAAAGATTTTTGCTAATATATATAAATATGTATATATTAAAGGTATAGCTAAAAGATTTTGAAATCTTTAATGACTCTTAGAATTCCAACAAAGAAAGTGTTGAATGTGATTGATTTGTTAGCAGGAATAACTATTTTACTTCAATAATCTGCAAAGGGTCTAGAACACAGTCATATCCTCGGTTACTCGGTTAGATGAGCTTGCTAGCTTATGCAGCACTTTACAAATATATTCAGTTGAAGAAAGAGTATATGGATATGCCTCTGATAACTTTTAAATATTTGGTTGAAAAACATTTTCAAAGAAATGGCTGAGTCTCGCTGGTAAAAATACCTTTCTTACTCAAGAAGCAAATAAACGTATCGAGAATTGAATGTGGGCTCCACATGCTGCCGAAAGAATTCTTATACAAAAGAGAAAAGAGGTCGCACTCTAATTGAATGAGACGTCAGTAAATCGTGAATACCATACAATGATTACCAGAGAAGCTGCCTGGTAGTAGGAGAAACGAATGTAGAAAATGTTCTAGGCGGGTACAAAGATTTGCATAGAAAAGGTTTTACAATTTTGTGTCCCGTTTTTTGGTTTAGGGAGGACATGCTAGTGTGAGGGAAACTTCACATAGTCCAGATATCTAGTACCTTTTGCTAAACTCCTATTTCAAGAATTGCGTATTGATTGTTTGAGAGGGTTTTGACTTAAGGTTTGATCTAAAAACTATTTGGCTATGAGTACAAACATACATATGTGTATGAAAAAAACCAAAATAATTATAGTTGCACTACTAACCATCCACATTTCACTCCCGCTTCTTTACAGGCAAAGGTTTGGGTGCCGTCATTGGTTTGGCGCGTGACGATAAGGAGCCCAAAGTCGATGCGCAGGCCATCCATCAGTGGCTGGCGATTGTCGCCTGCATCATTGCACTCGTTTACTTCATCATTTACAATTTGATATTGGCGCCGCGCTGTACAGCTAAATCGCAACACATCGAGGAGTTAATTTCCGGTTCGGCATCGCAGAATTATAGCAACGGCACCAATGGGGCTGGCGGTAGCACCGGCCAAGGTAGTACCAGTGCTGGTGCGGCCTTGAATGGCAACTCGAATTATTCACCACTGCGGGTGTATCATAATGAGCGAGGGAAATTGGGACAATTTAGATTTTAAATTTGATGCGCTTTCCTGTACATACATACATACGTATATACATACATGCAGCTATATATGCAGACATGACTGCGTACATTGATTTGAGCGCGTTTGTATGTACGTATGTATGCACATATAAACATGTATTTGTTTAAAGAAGTTATATATTTTATATGTATAATTTTAATTAAATGTTTACAAATGTAACTTTTAAATTTAATAATTTTTTTTGTTTATGTGTTAAATGAAAATAAGTTTAATTGTAATAAAAAAGAAAAACGAAATAAAATTCATAAAAAAAGTGAAACACATAATAAAGAACCACAATGTAAACATATTACAAATTAAAATTTGAAGAAAGAATGAGAAAATATTTACATATATATGTACATGTATTTGTAAGTGGCACTTTGTGAGGTTATGTTAGTGTTTTTTTTTCTTCTGGAATGGAGCGAGTTGGTAGGAGCATAACGGTTTCAGTATCCCAAAATTTGACGCATCATTCAACCCACCTTTGACATTTGATAAAGCGCATAATTAAAAGTAAATCATTATGACAATCCAATAGCAACAGCAACAACTGCAATGTTAACTAAGTTGAGTTTTTACAAAACGCCAGCTGTTTTTCCATTGCCACCAATCTTCTGCTACTCGCAACAATAAATGTTAATTCTAGTTTTAAGTCAACATTTTGCTAATATTATATACTGTAAAAAATAATGAAATAAGAAAAAAAAATATTTCTTATATATACTACATACATACATAGAATTTTTAACAGAATTATCAGTTGATATTTTTATCAAAAAAAAAAAAAAAATAAGAAAAGAACTCCATAATCGATAGACATTAACATGCCTGCAATGATATGATAACAAAATGTTTTTAATTAGCGCCATAATTACAAAAATCAACGCAATTATTTGCACAATGATATTAAGTAAAAAAAAAACAATGTATTTTCATAATAAACAAAAAAAAAAAATATTGTAATAATAAACCATCAAAAGCACATTTACATGCATATTTATTTTTTTTACCACTATTTAAAACAAAAACAACAAAATAATAATAATAAATATTAATAATAATAATAATAAATAATAAAAAAAAATTAAATAGTAAACTTTCCACAATTACCGCAAAACTCTGTCATCTGCTGTGCGCCGCATTTGTTGTAATTTCCAACAAAAAAAAAAAAAAAAAAAAAAAAAAAAAAAAAAATAAAAAAAAATACAAATACAAACACAAATATGAATAATAATTAAATCTTGTAATTTATTAATTCTGGAAATATGAGCAAGTCATAAATAAAAACCACATATTCAAAATATAAGCGATGATTTTCAGCTCATTTCGTTTATTATGTTTACATAGGCATGAGCGGTTTTATTGCTTAGCAAACAAAATTCATAAAAGTAAATTTTTTTAAACATTTTTTATAGAGTTATCCGCTAATTGCCGCGAAACCAAGCTCCTAAAAAACACTTAGGAGCGTCTATGCTACAATATTCTGGATACTGGATACTGGATACAAACTGATTGGACCTTAACTGTGTGGCTACACCACATGGCAAATCCACCACTGAACAGATATCCACCATGCGGCAAGGAAACATATAATCTTGTTTAGTGATTTCAAAGCCGCCTTTGACATCACGAAAAGCAGCCACAACTTGTAAATTTGGTATTCCTACAAAACTTAGACGTCTGTGTGAGCTGACGCTAGCCAACATCAGAAACGCAGTCATATTTGGGAAGAACCTCTTGAGGCCATTCGATAGCAAACGAGATTTTTGGAAAGATGACTTTCATCGGATATTTATTTCAATTTGATGCTGGAGTTATTATTATAAGTAGACAAGGCGCAAACAATTTTAAAAGAATCTTTAACTGCTGGGGTATGCCCTTAACAACTGCGCCATTAGTTCTGCCTTCTGCAAGCTTGACAAAGAAGCGGAGTGTATGGATTTCATAATGAACGAGGACAAGACGAAATATCTCCTGCCATCAAACAAACAGTCGGAAATTTTTTCTGCGACAGATACAAACGAAAAAAGGCAACCATATAGATGATGACAGTAGATTAAAACCCTTGCTAGATATGTCAGTTAAGGAAGCAAGAATCTCATTCGACGAAGTTAGAATATTTCCTTCAAAATATTGATTAATTCACATTATGAATATGTAGATGAAGTTAACTCTTACTTTTTGTTATTGCGTAAGAATAGCAGTTTGGGATTAATGCGAATCGGCTCTGTAAGAATACATTTGGCTAGTAAGTTTGGTTGAAATATCTCAAAAACTGTGGAAGTTCGTCATTCTGTTCCGATCGGTATACATTTTTGGTGGGTCTGACTATTCTCCTTTTGGTACTTACATATGTCGGATCAAAGTAAAAATAAAATTCCATGCACATAAAAGGTACCAGTAAAAAACTTCCATAGAAACAGATCGTTAAACCACAGAAGACATAATCACTTGGAAATAGAGCATCATTTTTCAGCTGAAAAAGTTTGCCTGCCCCAAAAGTGTTTTCCTGCGGTCTGCTCATGACACTTTTGCCATCTTTTTACCGCATGAATGCATGGCATTTGCTATGGGACTCCCTCACCAATGCAATGAATTTTTATTTCAAAATCAAATAAACACAATAATTAATTGAAAAGGAATTAAAAAATGAAATGAAAGCAAAGGCACAAAAAATACGAGGTAAAAGTTGATGCAAATACATTTCTGTTGAATTTTTATTTTTAATAAATTGTTCAATGCGAATTTTGCATAAAGAGCGAAAAGTAATTAAACATTAACATTTTAAGCATTTAAATAAACAGCCAAAGTGTCAACATGATTCTGACAGTTAGGGTTGGGGTACAGACGAGTATAAAGCATCCACTCAACAAAAGTGCTGTCCTTTGACTCATTAAATGTGTCTTAACAGAATCGACAAGCGCACATATGTAAACACATAAGATTACGTGTAATAAGCAAATAAACAAAAATAATTTAAATACATGAATATATATAGGCATAAAGAAATAGTGGACCATTTCATGCGGAAAAAGCGGTAGTCGGAGGAGTACTTACATACAAAATCAGTCCAAGTAGTGTTGTGGGGAACCAATTCTACAGCAATGGTATTAGGAACTGATCATTTCTCGCATTTGCACGACCTCAAACAAGATTTTTTGAATCTATTTCCATTGCATAGTAAATAATTTATATAAGCAAAATCGAATTAAGTAAATTTGGTTGAATTTTAATAAAATCACAGGCCTGCGACAAATGCTTGGAACCGTTTCTTTGCGACTGGACCAACGTAATCAAGGTTCTGCATGCTACATTCAAGCCCAGGCAAAAGATTCTTCTACCACCGATTCACATAAAGTTGCGGATGACGAAGCAACTTCCAAGGAATAGACAAACAATTTTCAGTACTATCAGAGCTTAAGTCGAAGAAAGGTATTTTCTTTGGAGCAGATATTATACACATTTCCGATACCACAAAAAATTAAGTTGTGTTCAAACCGATTTGAATTTAGCCACCAGTGGATTTAAGCAATTTATTAAAATTTTGTTTCAAATGAAATTTTCCATGAAAACGGCGGTCGTAGTAGCTCTCTGACATGAAATACTTACCAGCTTCTCATAAAAATCCATCGCACGTTTGGAAACGGCTGAGGATTCACTACAGGTCCCTCCAAAATTAGCGCTACAGTCGTTAAAAAGTGCTCCTTATATTTATATTTATAAAAGAGGGAAACAAACATAAGTGCAGTGGAACAAAAGACATATATATATATATATTTCCGATCTATTCCTGTATCCTTGCACTGTAGTTAAGCAGGCTAACCAAGTTTTTCCCACAATAAAAGCAATATCGAAACCTCGTTCACCCCTCCGATAAAAGGTGCAGTCTTGAAACTATCTCAAATGTCTTATTTCCCTGAAAGCCTGTCGAGCATTTGACTCGTTAACTAATTGCTCAACTTCATCGTCTCAAAATATTTTAACTATTTTCCTCTGGAAGTGTTTTTTGCCTCCCTCTTATCCTTTGAGCTTTGACGATATGATAGAATGTATGTGTTATCTCTCTCTCTCTCTCTCTCTCAGATAGCACGATCATCAATCAAAGAACACTGCTTCTTTATCAATATTAAGTTAGTCAAGAGTCTTTCAATCCAGTGGAAACAAAGAAGTTCAGATAAATAGTTCATATTGTACGCTAATATTATAGATATTTTGGGTTTCAGCATTGGTAAATTTAGAGAGGTCACGTCAACGATATCTTCTTTATGCGCCTTAACACTAAATCAACAATCACAGAGGGCGATGAGATGTGCATTAGGTTTTTTCCGTCAGAGAACGCTAATCAGCGACATGTTGAAGGGACTTAAATAAGTGTGGTTTATGGCTAGTGCTGTTGATTCCAAAACTAGTCGCGGTCATTTAACGGAAAGTCTAGGAAATGAGATATTTCGCCAATTTGGATCCGACGAACACCTCTAGATGACTTGGTTCGGAAGGAAATACAATAAAGTCGTTAGTGTGGTGTAGGATCTAGTTACATTCAAGGTATACGTTGGTAATGTTGGTGTTAAGTCTGAAAAGGTAGGAATTTAGTCGACAATATTATTCAAACTTTCATTGTGGCTGTATTACTCGTGCTTCGAGCTCATTCTTTGCTATAAATGGATTCTAAGAACAACCGGAATGAACCGTCGGAAATTTGACGAAGGTGTTAACTAACTCGCCGTGAATGACGTCAAGGGCCTGTATAGTGCTCATTTTCACCGTGTTCCAAATCTTTGAGAACACCCATGAAAAGGGGATTGATACACACCATCTCTTCGGGCCCGAAAATGAGCCTCTACGCTGCTATATCTGGATTCGGTATGCCCGCAAAACTTATATGGCTAAGTAAACAGTTTTTAAGCAACACCGAAAGCTCCGCCAGAATCGGCATGGATCTCGATACCAGACAGGGTTTCAGACTAGGTTTTATTGCTGGAGAAAATTATACGAACTGCCAAGCTGAATAGAGAAGGTGTAATCTTCTATAAAAATGTACAGCTGCTGGCGTATGCCGCTGATGTTGACATTACTTGCCTCAAATACCGCGCGCGTGAGTTCTGTTTTCTTCAGTCTGGTTATGAAGCGAAGGCTATGGGTCTGGTAGTG